GGGGTCACCTTTGAGAGATGAGTGATTAACAAGCATTCACCAAATGTTGATGGTTGCATAACTTTGTGAATATACTGAAAACCACTGTATATTTCTAAAAGGTAAATTTTATAGTGAGTTATAGCTCAATCACTAAAAAAAAGAAAATCCCTCCCCCACTAAAAGTTAGCATTCAGCGAAACCCAAACACTACAATATAGACCATTTCTCTTTAAAATTCAAGCTTCAGGGGCGCCTGGGTGGCTCAGTCGTTAAGCGTCTGCCTTCGGCTCTCGGGTCTTGATCCCAGGGTCCTGGGATAGAGCCCTGAATCAGGCTCCCTGTTTGGTGGGAAGCCTGCTTCTCCCTCTCCCACTCCCCCTGCTTGTGTTCCCTCTCTCGCTCTTGCTGTCTCTCTTTCAAATAAATAAATAAAATATTATAAAATAATAAAAAATAAAATTCAAGCTTCCAACACAATGTGCAACATTTTGGAGACAATTCTTTGGAGGGCCTGCTGAGGCCTGCTAGTTTTATTCTGTACTGCTTTTATTTTATTATTGTGTTTTTTTTTTTTTTTTAAAGATTTTATTTATTTATTTATTTGAGAGAGAGAGAATGAGAGAGAGCATGAGAGGGAAGAGGGTCAGAGGGAGAAGCAGACTCCCCGCTGAGCAGGGAGCCCGATGCGGGACTCGATCCCGGGACTCCAGGACCATGACCCCAGCCAAAGGCAGTCGCCCCACCAACTGAGCCACCCAGGCGCCCCTTATTTTGTTTTTTTTTTTTCAAATATTATATTTATTTATTTGTCAGAGAGGGAGAGAGAGCACAGCAGGCGAGCAGCAGGCAGAGGGAGACGGAGAAGCAGGCTCCCCACCAAGCAGGGAGCCTGACGTAGGACTCAATCCCAGGACCCTGGGATCATGACCTGAGCCAAAGGCAGCCGCTTAACCCACTGAGCCGCTCAGGCGTCCCTCTATACTGCTTTTTTAATGGCAGAGTTTTGAGAGGTGTTGAGAGTGGGGTGGTGGAAAGGACACTACACCACTATTTCAGAAGCTCCGGCTATTCTAAAAGTCCAAGTGCTATGTATGGTCTGAATATTTGTGTCTCCCATAATCCCTATATCGAAATCCTAATGCCTAATGTGATAAAGTCAGTGCGGCGTTTGGGAGGTCCTAAGTCACGAGGGTGGAGCCCTCACGAACAGGATTATTGCCTTTATTTAAAAAAAAAAAAAAAAAAAAAGCTCCCTTGCTCCTTCTGCCTCAAGACACGGCAAGTCAGCAGTTGGCTATCCAGAAGAGGGCTCTCCCCAGAACAGGCCAGAACCCTGATCTTGGGCTTCCAGCCTCCAAAACTGTGAGCAATAAATTTCTGTTGTTTAAAAGCCACCCAGTCTGGAGTATTTTGTTACAGCAGCCCAAATAAACCAGGACACCGAGTAACCCTCATCACCACTGCTAAATCTGTTTCTCATTTAACAACAACAACAATAAAAAGACTGAACCGGGTACAAAGTGGAACATCAAGTACATTCTATCATAGAAAATGTTAGTTCTAGTACAAGTAACCCCTGTCTTATATTTTCATTCATTTCAGAACCTCTACTTTAAGGAGAATCACTTAGCTAATTTACTTGGATCTGTAGAGAATTACACTTAAATGAATTATACTTAATTACACTTAAATGTGTTCTACTTAATCATTCCTTTGGAAACCTATATTAAATTTTCAAAGGGATTCAAGGTCAACACTGAATCCCAAGTTCTGACTTGGGATAGCTAGAAACAGGCATAACTAGCAGCCCTCCAGTAAGGTGAATGACACTTTGGGCAAAAGCATCTTCCTCCTCTTGCTCAAGGCCCACTGAAACTATTTCCAAAAAAAAAAAGAGAAGAAGGAAGGAAGGAAGGAATGGAGGGAGGGAGGGAAAAAGGAATGAAGGGAGGAAGGGAAAGGAGAGAATTTTCGGGAGAAATGACAGATATTCATTCTAGATAGACACATTTTACAAGTCTGGTTCTCTAGTCTAGACAGACTCCTTCAAGAGCTCTCCTGGTATTTAATTTCAAAACACACCCACCACAAATTTCAGCTATGGCTTAACAACAAAAGAAAACATGCATGCCCTACTGACTATTTCCTCACTATAAAAAAAAAACTTGCAAATCTTATGGTTCCCCCTTTGTGAATTTCAATCTAAGTGCTACTTCCAACTTTTTCCCTGCTTCTTCCAAGCACAGTTCCCTGCCCTAAGGGTGGTATTTTATGGACCTGAATGGGCTGGAACATGCAATCCAACATAACTCTGGACCTCAACTCAAAAATCTATTCTTTTTTTTTTTAAGATTTTATTTATTTGACAGAGAGAGAGAGAGCACAAGCAGGGCGAGAGGGAGAAGCAGACTCCCCGCTGAGCAGGGAGCCCAATGGGGGGGCTCGATCCCAGGACCCCGGGATCTTGACCCGAGCCGAAGGCAGACCTTAACTGACTAAGCCACTCAGGCACCCTATTCTTTTCTAAATAAACATCCTACAGAGGATTATTTTTAACATTAACAGGCATTTTGTAGAAGCATCTGATAAAATCAGTAACACCAATATAGGTTTCCAATAAAAAAAGAAAAACCTGACCACAATGTAGGGAATTTTCTTACCAACAACCACTTCCCCACACACTTTTACATCTCCCACTTCTGGTAGTGTCACAGAGAAAAGGGTTAAGAGTACAGCTGAAACTGGCAAATACCAGGAAGAGAAAAGCAATCCCCCCACCTAAGAGGTACTGCCTAACCACTCAACAATAACCATTATTCCTGACTATTGCTCTAAGGACGAGTGTCTTTTGATGGCTGATGGCTACATACGCTGGAAACGGAGTTCTAGGTGTAGCCCAAGTGGTGCTGGGGCCTCCAAAGGAGGCGGGGGGGGGGGGGGGGGGCAAAAAGAAAATGGCTGGATAAAAGGAATCTACCCATGATAAAGTATGGGGAAACCGACACTTTTAGGAGCTGGTAATGAACTAGTTTGGGCAGCCAAAATGGCTTGATCTAAGCAAAAAAAAAAAGAAAAAAAGAACTGAATTTCCTTACTCAAAAGAAAAAAATCAAGTTCCTTACTCAAAAGAAAAAAATCAAATAAAATACCAGTCAATAAAACAACCAAATCCAAACTGTGTACTCACATATACACTTTGCGAAAGTATTTCTTCAAACTCTTTTTGCGTCTAGAGAGAAAACTATAGTAAATATTTCTGAAGAAACTAACCTCCCAGAGCACTTTTATGATGTCCACTTATCTAAGAAATACCACAATTTAGAACTTTAAAGAGAAATCAACAACCCATTCTCACACACAAATTCTTGGGAACATCTATGACCCAGTCCCCAATACCCTGGTTAGATAATGGGAAGGACATTCCACCTTCTCCTTTCTTCCTCTCTTTAATCAATACGGACAGTTCCTAACATAAGCACCTGTCTCTGGGAGGTATAAAGTTCTCTGACTGACGTTCCTCTGAGTCAGTTCCCGAAAGCATGCTATCACTGAAGCACAACACAGCAAGATTTTTAAAGACCGAACTTAACTTGAAACCACAGAAAGAATGCCTACCAGCGCTCATGAGAATGGAACACGACGACTCCTAAGTCCTAACAAACGCTCCAGTGTGTGAACAGACTCGCTCCTGACACAGTAACAGAGCGAGCGAGTTATTCCAAGCAACCTGAGTAAGGTAAACGATTTTAACGCAATGAAAATTCCAAACGTGCCACTAGGAAGAAAAGCCCAAGTCCCACTCAAGGAAAAGGGCACACAGATCCATGCAGCTTCCTAACACGTTAACGTTGAAGTGAGGAACGCTAACTTCCTGACACTCTGTGCACTTCACAAGCTTACAAACGCTAAGGGTGAACGAGATCTTTGTATCGATAGCCAACAGTTTCTGCCGGATCACAAGGCTGCAATGCATCTTGGGACTCCCTCAGGACGGTTCCGCGTCACAGACCTTTAAAGCGCAATTACAGTCTCAATAACAGAAATTGCAGCAAGAGACGCTCTCTCGGCTCGGCCGAAGGTGAAGGGAAAACGCGAGCCTTCGTCCTCGCCAACTCCTCGGATCTCTCAACGCCCCCCACACCCACTCGTGGCTCCATCTGCGCTCACTCCTAGGCCTCGTGGCACTGACCTGCCGCGGCCCCCTCTCCGTCCCATACGGTCCCCACTGCCAGGGGGTGGCTGCGGCCCCCACGGGGGAGGGGCGGCCCCCAGGCCCCGCGGGTGTCCCCCGCACGCCGCCCCCGCCCCGCCCGGCCCTCCGCCGCCGCCGCCGCCGCCCCGCGCAGGCCGCCTCCCCGGCCCCGGGCCGCCCCACCCAGGGCTGCCCGCGCCCGGCGCCGCTGTCAGCGCTCCACGTGCCACCCGGCCCCGCGGGGCGCGCCGCCCGAGCCCACCGCACCCCGCCCCACCCCCAGCCCCAGTGGGCTCCGGGCCCAGGCCGGCTGCTCCCGCCCTCGCCCAGCCCGGCTTCCTCCCGCGCCCCGAGGCCGCCCCGCGCGTCCCGGCCCTTTACCCGGAGGGCCTCCCGCGCCGCTGCCGGCTCCGTGGTTGGGGGTGGCGGCGCCAGCTGGGGGCGGCGGCTGCTGGGCCGGGCCCCGCAGGAAGGACGGCACGAACTCGGCGGCGTGGACGTTGGGCACGAAGGGCTTGGCGTTGACGTTGAGTTGCCGGCTGAAGGCCGCACTGAGGTGCTCACGCTGGGCCTCGGTCGCCGCCGTCGCCGCCGCCGCCAAGGGGCCGCCGCCGCCGCCACACGGGCCGGGCCCGGGGGCTTCCATGTCCGCCTGGTCCCAGCAGTCGGGCGCCGAGTCGCTGCTGCTGCTGCCGCTGCTGCTCCCGCCGCCGCCGCCGCCACCACCGCCACTGCCCGGATCCATGATCGGGGGGGCCGTGTGTGTGGTGAAGAGAGGGCGGGAAATGGGAGGCGGGGGCGACGGGCCGGGCAGGAGCAGGCCGCGATGACCCGGCGAAGCGGCGAGGCAGAGGGGCCGGGGGCTAGCGACACAATCCCCGGCGTTGTCGCGGCGAAGGCTCCAGTCCCAACTCCGCACTCGCGACGACAACGGCGGCGGCGGCTCAACCCTCCTCGTGTGTGCGAGCGGATCTCCTCCCACCCAACCCCAACCACCTCGGACCGCCTCAGCGCCAACCCCACGCCGGCGCGGATTGACCCCGCCCTGCCACCCGTACCTTCGCCTCGGTAGTTCTTGGCCCTGCCCTTCCCAGTTTCCGGCTATGAGGTGCTGCAGCAGATGGAACTACAAGTTCCGGCAGCACCCGCGCGACCCCGCTGCGGTTTTCCCGGGGGCCGACGGGAGTCGGAGTTCCGAACCCCAGAGCAACCGGAAGCGGCTCCGGCTCCCGGCAGGCAGCGCGAGGAAGCGGAGGTCCAGTCGTCGCTCGGCGGCCCCACCTGTCACCCGGTGGGGGCAGGGGTGGGGGCGCGTCCTTGCGCGACACTTCGGACCCCGGGGTGGTCCTCGCCGTCCTGTTGGGCACAGGATGCGGGGAAACGGACAGCAGTTCTAAGGCGCAAAACACAGCGCTCCCCTCCTGGAATTCCTTCCTTCTCGCATCACCAGCCTGTGCGCTCTCTGCTTCCCGGTCTTCCTACCTTGTGCTCTCTTTCCACCTTCCTTCTCCCCGCCCCCAGCCAGATTTTGCCCTACATTTCAAAGCCGACGCTTCGCGTCTTACATTTTGTGTATTCACTTGGTAGAAGAGAATAAAACCGTGAGACAGTACAACTTAAACTGTAGTGTGGCTCGTAAAGCGCTCGGGCCCAGGCTCTGCCCCGGCACAGGGGATTATTAACTGGGAACTTGGAATGACTCACCGTCTGTTTGACTAGTCATTTAAAGCCTTCACCCAAACTTTTCCATCCCTCCCTCCTCCCGGCCAAGGGCCTTGCAAATTAAACAGAGGATTGGCCTATTCCATAATGTATCCAGCTGTATCCAACGAATACGGTTATTTTGATGCGTCCAGCTTCTATATGCACCATCAGGTGAAGTGTTTTTCTTCTGAACAATGGGATTTGCTCGAGTATTCCCGTAGTGTTTTATTGACTGCTTCTCACGCAGGCAGACTGAGTTTAGGTAAACATGGGGGTGGGGGGAAGCGAAAGATAAATACTTGGACTCAATTACATGAAGTAGGAAAATAACGTTGTTCTGAGTACCTGTTAAGTTTTCCTGTAATTCACCCATGCGGAGCCCAAGACGGGGAAAAACATATTGTTGATATTTTTCTCCAAGGAGTCTAGACAGAGTGTAACTAACCTGCTAAAAATCACAGAGTAAAGGCGTAGACACACAGAGAATAGATGTTTCTTAACAACCGTATGTTACAGTCCAAAATCCAGATCTAGATATGAATTTAAAATTTAAATACCTGTATCTTAAAAGAGGATCCAGCCCATTAATGAGACAGCTCAGAAACAAAGCTGTGTCAGGTACCTTTCAAAACAAATTCTATGCTAAAGTGGTTTGAAATTCTGTTTAATATTAAACTAGCAATTTTTATGAATGCTTTTTTTTCTTAAAGATTTTATTTATTTGACAGAGAGAGAGAGATAATGAGAGCAGGAACACAAGTAGGGGGAGCGGGAGAGGGAGAAACAGGCTTCCCGCTGAGCGGGGAGCCTGATGCAGGGCTCAATCCCAGGACCCGGGGATCATAACCTGAGCCGAAGGCAGACGCTCAACGACTAAGCCACCCAGGTGCCCCTTTTTTCCTAACTCTGAATACTTGAGATATCAAGTGCTGTAAATGTGAAGAAACCAGGGACCTCCATTGTAACAAGCCTGGCTTTAAGTTTTTCTTCAGATCTGTGGTCAATGCTCCCTGAAATCTTCTGGACATTGATTTTTCTTTTTTTCCACGACAGATGATGTATTCCCCAGATTAATAGAAAGTTCAGGTTACAGCCTATTAATACAGTTCTCTGAAGACCCATTTAAATCTTTCTTAAGAGTGTCCCACTTTAAAGTTGGTATTAAGTGATTGCCCTCGAATTTACTCAGAACTTATTAACAATTGATATAAAAACTCCTTCATATAAGGGAGACCTGCATTGCTATTGAGATAAATATTTTTATCTTATATTCACAACAGGAAGAAAATACAGTGTGTCCAAAATAAAGTGCCTTCTCACTCAAGATTGGCACTCCCTCACCTACTCCTAAAAATGTCAACACACACACACACACACACACACACAAATGTCAAAACAAACAGCTGACTCAAAGAGTGACCCATACTGTCCTCCAACTGCTTTATCATTGGATGCCATACTTCAACGTGGATCACCCATAGGGCACTGGATGATGGATCCCTCTTAGGTTAGCTCTTCACATCAAATTAAATTAGCAGCGTCTTTGTGCCTGAGGGCTTTTTCTAGAGACAAAGACAAAAACTGCTGAGACCCGCTGCTTAGTAAAGCAGTTGTTGTCAGGTCCCTGAATAGGATAATTATGGAAATTCAGGAAAGAATCCACTCCAGTGGTTTTCAAAAGCCTTGACCTGCCAGGGTTGAAGCACTGCTCCAGCAGGAAAGTGAGAAGCTCTTCTTGATAATTGTTGTGCTAAGATTGAGCGACTTGAGGTCAGCATCTTTTCATCTTTATATTCCCAACGCCCGGTATGATGCCTGGCATAGGAAACGTGCTTAACAAATGTTTCACTGAGTGGATCAGTGCATCAGAAGGAAGTTTCTGGTGATACTGCCCTTTTATACTCACTTAGGGCTGTTGAGACACAGGACTATCAGCTTTGAGAGTTTTCCCAAGGACATCCTGCTCCGTGCTGTGATGCACACACAGGGTTAGCCTGACCACCGCTGTACTTTACAACGCCATGCTTATTCAAGGTCTGAGCCGTTCCACGACAGAGAATTCCCATCTTCTGACGCAAGCCCCACCAGCTGGCATTCCTAGTATTCTCTCTTTTTTGTTCTCTGCCATCTTCCTCTCCTCACTTAGATATTCTGCCTTTAAAGTGAATCAGGGAGCACCTGGGTGGCTCAGATGGTTAAGCATCTGCCTTCGGCTCAGGTCATGATCCCAGGGTCCTGGGATCGGGTCCTGGGATCGAGCCCCGCATCGGGCTCCCTCCTCCGCGGGGAGCCTGCTTCTCCCTCTCCCACTCCCCCTGCTTGTGTTCCCTCTCTCGCTGTCTCTCTCTCTCTGTCAAATAAATAAATAAAATCTTTAAAAAAAATAATAAAGTGAATCAGGGTCTCAGCACCTGCCCCTTTTAATTTACCACACAGTACTTTGTTTTGCTTCTTTGATCTAAAAGCTTATTTTTTAGGGGGCACCTGGGTGGCTCAGTTGGCTAGGCATTCCACTCTTGATTTCAGCTCAGGTCTTCATCTCAGGGTCGTGAGTTCAAGCCCCGCAAAGAGCTCCACACCTAAATAAATAAAAGTTTTTCTTTTATGCTTCTGAACATGAGGCTGATACGAAAAGTCATGGCCATCCCAGGGGTTTAGCGGGTGAAAACATGTGCACACAGGTAGCAGGGCCACTCCTGGAAATGTTTTCTGTAGAAATACGAGTGCAAGTGTAAAAAGCTGTCCTTTTCAGCATTTTTGCAGCAGCTCCAAACCAGAAACAACCTAAATGTCCGTCAACAGGGAAATTCTGATTAAATACATGATGGATAGCAACAGTATGGAATAATATGCAGCTATCAAAAAAGAGTGACACAGACTAGGTGCTGATTATAAATCCATTTATAATATATGATGAAGTAGGCAAGAGCAATATATCTTGTATGTGTAGAATATATAGCGGATCAGTGTATCTAGTGTAACCCTATTTCTTTAAAAACACCTAGATTTTTCCTCTCCCTGGAATGCTCCTTCCCTAGATCTTCACCTCTCCAGCTCATTGTCATTCAGTGCCAATGTGTCCTGAATGGCTCAGGTCATGATCCCAGGGTCCTGGGATGGAGCCCCACATCGGGCTCCCTGCTCAGTGGGGAGTCTGCTTCTCCCTCTCCCTCTGCCATTCCCTCTGCTTGTGTTCTCTGGCTCTATTTCTCTGTCAAATAAATAAATAAAATCTTTTTTAAGAAATAAAAATGTCTTTAAGTTACAAGGTGGTCTCCTAGCCACCTTGGCCCTCCACCAACCCACATCACTCTCTACCCTCTTGCCCAGTTTTATTTTTTCAGATGCCTTATCACAATCTGAAATTCTTATTTGTTCCCATGCTTACTACCCATCTCCTCTTACTGGAAAATTAATTCCACAACTCTGTCTTATTTGCTATTGGTGTTCTCATGGCCTACAACATTGCCTGGCATGGATAAAGTGCTCAGTAAACATTTGAGAGAGAGAAAGAGACATATGTATCTCTTTGTATGTTAAAAAACTTTTTAAAGTGTGAATAGTTACATATTAAATTGTTAATGGAAGGTGTATTTGTGGGGTGGGATTGGATGTGGAATGGAGAGCAGCTAGAAGAAGAAATTGCAATTTTTTTTACTATACTTTTATGTTTGGACTTTCCTACAAGAAACAAATCGCTTTAAAAAATTCTTTCATCAGGGTGCCTCGCTGGCTCAGTCTGAAGAGCATGCGACTCTTGATCCTGATCTCAGGATCGTTAGTTCAGAGCCCCATGTTAGGTATAGGGATTACTTAAATAAATAAAACTTTTTAAAAATGAGGTGAAATTCACATAAGATAAAATGAACTATTTTAAAATAAACAATTCAGGGGTGCCTGGGTGGTGCAGTTAGTTGAACGTCCTACTCTTGGTTTTGGCTCAGGTCATGATCTCAGGGTGGTGAGATCAAGCCCCACATCTGGCTCCATGCTCAGCACAGAGCCTGCTTGAGATTCTCTCTCCCTCTGCCCCTCCTGCTCATGCTCTCTCTCTCAAATAAATTTTTAAAAAATTTATTAAAAATAAATAAATAAATAAATAGGGGCACCTGGGTGGTTCAGTCGGTTAAGCCCCTGCTTTCAGCTCAGGTCATGATCCCAGGGTCCTGGGATCGAGCCTCACATCGGGCTCTCTGCTCAGCTGGGAGTCTGCTCCTCCTTCTCCCTCTGCCTCTCCCCCGGCTTGTGCTCTGCTCTCTCTTGCTCTCGATCTCTCTCAAATGAATAAATGAAATCTTAAAAAAATAAATAAAAAGTAAATAAAAAATAAAAATAAATTAAGAAATAAAAATAAAGTGAACAATTCAGTTGTAATCAGTGCATTCACAATGTTGTGCAACTGCCACCTTTGTCCAGTACCAAAACATTTTTATCATGGCACAAGGAAACCCATGACTGTTCCAGGAATGGTTCCCATTCCCATGGAAACATGCTCCCCATTCTCCTATCCTTCCTGCCTCTGACAACCACCAATCTCCTTTCTATCTCTAAGATTTACCTATTCTAGACATTCATATAAAAGGAGTT